TATTTCATAATCTTACTATAGCAGATGCGTTTACTTACTAATCGGTCTCGGTCACGTGACCACTAACCATTGCTGAGAGATCCAGTGAGAACTGAAGCGCTTGGATTCAGTGAAGAACTTAAATGTCTTGGTAATTTCAACTAGTTTAAAGCCAGATGAATCAGCGCACTGCACCCAATGATACAGTCAGAAGGCTTCTCAATCTAAAAATAGCCATCATTTACCATGGATTTACTGTAGTAACACTAATAGCACCATGGTACTGTAGAAGAAATGCATGATATTCATATAGAATTGTATTATATTATATTAATGTAGGCTATTAAAGTCTCCCTGCAGTCATTAATTTTATCCCTTAAACCTCATCTTTGATCTGATCACCAAAATGACATTTTTAAATGTTTTTTTTTCTTTTTTTCCTGGGAAAAGTGTTTTATTCATGCGTTAAAATAGCGTGAATGTAACTCTACACCCTTGCTTCATTTTGTATACACCAGACCTCCACTCACTCACACCAGCTCAGAATACCTAACCCACTCGCTCAACTTTACAGCATTAAGCGCTGTGCAATGGCAAGTGGAAATACTGGTTTAATTCAGTCATGTTTAAACCAAAAACTGATTCAAAAGCGAATTATAACTAACTACGTTATCAAACAGCTAATAATGGATTGTTAATGTTACAAAAACCATGTTCCTGTTCGCCATCTCTGAGTCAGACCGCTGCCTTCAAACAATCAGTCTCCTTACAAACGCTTTGAACAACTCAGAACGTCAGTGGAGAAAGGCATATAGTCAGCATCATAACATTACATACAGAATTCACCTGATATATTGCTAAATGTATTTTTTTATAGGCTATCAAAAGGAAAAATATACTAGGATAACTTGGCTTCTTTTGAGACTACACTGCTTCAGAGCGGTCTGATATGAAAGCCGGCCAGCACACTGATGTTTTTGGTTACAACGTAGTTTGTGACACAAGAAAAACTGGCGATCTTTAGTTCAATGCAGTTTTAAAGAGAAAATTTTAGTGTTGTCTTATGAATCTGCACTTGGTTTGTCTTAAAGCATATTAAAACACCCGACATATAACCAACATTAAAACCCTTTTTTTTTTTTACCACATGGATAAAGGAATAAAGGAATATATTCCAGTATTTTTAAAATATATATATTTTTAAATTAAGCTATTTGTGCATTTATACAAAATGTATTGAGGCAACATTGTGCCATGGTACTGAGGTGCTACATGCGTGGTTTTAACTGTGGTTATGATCTAAATATCTGCATCATGGAAGACTAATGGTTAATATTAGTAACCGACTGAGGTCGTTACAATTTTTACAGAGTTTTTTTTTAAGCCTGGGTTTCCCCATACTGCCTTTGCACAGTGCGATTTTATTCACACTGCTAGGCAGTCTGGATACCATGGACCAAATTTTCACCTCAGCGAGGGGACCAATCGCAGAACGGGAAGGGAGCAGCAAGACGACAACGTCTATGCCACAAACCGAAGCAGTTTGTCTATACCTATGAATCAAACATGGCAGCAGACGTGAAGTTACCTTTCGATGCAGCCTTATACATTGTTCTAAGTAGTTTAGAACGCAAATACATCTCTGACCCATCGTCTTCTTCCATGTCTAATTTCTTTCGCCCTGCATATGCCATCTGGTATAATTGAAACGATTGGCTATGAGCTACACAGGCGCATTTGATAGACAATCGTAGCACCCAATAAACAGCTGTGGGCATTCGTAAACCACGCCTCAAATACGGGAAAATGAACAGCGCCCAGACCACGTCTCAATCTCAATTAGACGAGGTCTGACCTGACGTTAGCCAGGACGTAATTTAAAAACAAAAAAAACTTACATCTGCAACCCAACTCAAGCTACTGTCAAAGCATACTCAAAATGAGTTAACACAAACCTGTTTCAAGACATACAGAAACTAAGAATTAATTTTTCAATTATAATATTTATTATGTTAATGGAAAATGACTGGAAAAGTGTAAAGAATTCATGTTCTGCCTTTAAACTTTTCTGATAATTATCAATATCAACTGATATAAAAAAAATTCTATAGTGATGACTTGTTTTTGGCTATATCGCTCAGTCCCTAAATAGAACTGAGGGACAAAATGTATAAATGTACGTGAATATAGAACAACACAATCTAATGTGACTGTCCCTTTAATTCTCTGGCAGTAAAGCAAATCTGTGGCTCCACATTCGGATGATGATCTTGAGTCCCTCAGACAGTCCTAACCGAGGGGTCAAGGTTTTGTTGCTTAGCATAGCCCCATTGCTTCTTGACTGTAAAAATAATCTTTTTACATTGACATCAATGCGATTTGATTAATTGGCTCAAAACAATCTGGAAGGAGAACAGAGCGCCCAACCTTGAACTAAGGTGGTAGAACTTCCAGGTATGTCCTCGGGCTTCAACGTCATCAAAATTATATATTTATTGTCTGCCAACATAGTAAGCGAGTTTCTCAGACTCCAAACTAAACAAATTAAGATTCAATAATGCTAGTAGTCCATGTTCTGGAAACTGTTTATTTCTAATTATTTTAGTTTATTCTTTAGTAACTATTATAAAATATGAATTAAATGCAGTACTTAACTTTAAATTAAATAGTGTGATATCTAATTATACATGCATAGGTCATACAAATAAAAAGAAATCCATAACGTTCAACCACTACCAAGTTCGGCTAAATCAGTCAGTGGATTCATTATAACAATGTGATCAATTCATGATTGACAGAGCCTAAGAGGCGAGCTCACATGTAGTATTTTACAAGATAAAAAGTTCACATAAAGAACTAGCCTACTTCTTGTGGAGTTTTGCTTCACAGATAGATAATTTAAGAATAATATGCTACATAAAATCAGTGCATCACATACCAGAGAGAGAACCAAGTTTTTGTAGACTTGCCTTGTAATGATTACAGATTAGAATGAATAGACTCAGACTGCATAATATATCTAGACTAAGCCAAAAAACAACAACAACACTATTCACTATTGCATGAAGGAATAAAGTTAATAAATCATTGCTTATCAATTTTACCAAAATAGCAGCTGAAAGTCAATAGTTTTGGATACAAGTGAATACTAATGAAAAAGTTATATGCATGCTATGCAAAATACATTTGTTTTTTGGTGGAATGACAGAACGGCAGCACTGAGAGTTTCAATTAAGGTTATGCATGCATGTAAGCCTATCATGCTGTCAAGCCCTCTACTTTCCCCATATCAAATTAATGCCTGCATCCAACTCTAATACATTTAAAGGTCTGCAATAACAAATACCATGCAAAGCCGTTCAAATGGGTGTTATGAAACATGGATAAAACAGCCAAAATGCAGCTAACAGAAACACATTAATTTATCAAGAGGCCTGACAGCTTAAGTCTAAGTTTAATCCATCATATATTAGTGGAGCAAAAAGAATATACGCTATGAGAGTGAACTAGAGTTGTAAACACGTCAAGTGTTTGTAGGTCTGAAGTTGAGCATCACTTAACTCAGGTTTTCCTTCAATGTCCAAACAACGGAAACACTGCAAACATGTTGAGCTCATCCTGTCTTCTCAAACAACTCTGCAAAGCTCGCAAAATCAAAACTTCACCAAAAATGTCATTTTCAGAGAAATATCCTGAGGATCTTTAAAAGTGGTTTGCTGGATGAACAGGCCACGAGACTGACTTCAGCCACTGGCATAGCATCACAGTAGAGCACTTGACTGTATAAACGTAGTTATAGTGCCATTAATGATACATAAATGAAGACTAAACTCCCCGTACGATTTTATTCAACCAATGACAGCCTCTTTCCTTCAGCATTGTGCCTGTATGTTAAGCTACATTAGCACACTGACAGCTAGCAGCTAACAGGCTAAAAGCTAACCTCCATTTGACAGAAAGACTCTTTTGATAGTTCAGTTTCGCACGTAGTAAAAATTTGCTTTAGCGCAGAATCACATTCATGACGTTGCTCATAGACTTTTTTTGTCGGGTGGATGTTTTTGTACTGGAGGAGCATTAGCACTCACCAGGATCCTCTTGAACAGAGCGTTTTCTTTGGGAGGCAGAGTGACTGTCGGCATCCTTTACACTCTCTATATCAGCACATGTGAAATGAGTGCGGGTGTGTGAGGCAGCGTCTTCCCCGTTTTTTACCCCCTTGTTCTCTAAATCCTTGCTCGGCTCGATTTAGTGCCCGTGTCAGACTTAGTAACCCGGCCCTCACGTGGTGACAGAAAAGCCCCCTTTGAGCCCAAAATGGCCGATCCGGCGCTTCTCCTCCGGGTCAAGCTGCTTGACTGCTCGTCGCCTCGCGGACAGTAGGAGGCGCATCATTTGTAGGTCAAACATTTTTTATTACATTTTTCAAAAGATTTTCTTTTTGTTTTTGTTTTTTGTTTTGTGTGTGTGTGTGGAGGGGGGGGGGGGTAATTTTTATTTTGTTATTGATTAAAAATATAATTGTTTTTCCACTTCGCGGTTGTTTTGTGTTGAGTTACATTACATGGGGATCTTCATGGAAATTTGGAACACTTTAATAAGTGGTGTTTGTCAAAGGCGATTTCTGTAATAATTTGATAATTTCTGTAGTGTAACATGATTAATTAAGCATGTAAATAAATCCTTTAAATAATATAGCCTCAACAGACAATCTAATTTTTATTTTAGCTCCTAACATATAAATTAGGAACACAATCCTAAAGTGTTGCATAAGTAGGTTTTATTTCGCGACAGCTGTGCAAATAAACTGGTTCTTTATTTTGACTTTATTTTGATTTTTTTTTTTTTACAGAGAAGTGACAGCGTATAAACCATAGGTATAACCATAGGGTATAACATAAATGACTGGAAAAATAACGGAGCTTTTATTTTGGCGTGAGATGTGAAAGAAGATTTATCAAACCGTGCAGAGGCAAATGAAGGTATGGGACTTTTATTTTGATAGGTTTTGCGGAAGAGTTTTTTTTTATCGCAGAGGGGCGGTTGTCAGTGGCGTCCTGCGCTTCTGATAACACTGGCTATCGCTCTCATTCATAGCGGATTCTTCGCGCCGAAATACTGGATGACAAACCCATCCGCTTGAGCTACAGTTATCCGACACATTGCCAATATTAATTCAGCTGGAGGAGGTGAGTGAAAAAATACATTTTTCTGCCAAACACTACTAACGCAGACAGGCATCATCACCTTCTTCATCGTCATCATCATCATCATCGTCATCACCCAGCTAACGGTACTGCAGCTAGCCAGAGCACGTTATTATAATATTGTTATAAATAAAATGAAATAAATAATAAATAATATCAATAACAAACCTGAGAAATCCATAACATCAAAGCGCGGGAGATAATCGAAATTAAATGTATAAAATATGCCATTGAATTATTTTAAAGATTACCTGTTTATCTTACTCGTTTTTTATTCTATCTTGTTATAAAAAGTGAAGTCTTAACTTACATTAAATATTGTGGGGGGAAAAATAGCTCTTTCTATGGCAGATGTGTTGATCAATATCGGGGTCAAAGTGTCACGGAATCAGAGGCTCCGCGCCAAAGGGATAAAATAAGTTGTTGTTTTTTTAATAATTATTATTTATTTGTTTTCTGTTGGTCATGCTCTAATTTGCATGTTTTGTAGATGAAGTTGCGGTGGGGCTGGACGTGTCTCTTGTTGCTCTCCATCTCCATGGTAACATGGGCCCAGGAAGAAGACCTAGAGGATGAAGAGGAGGCTCAAGTGGAAGATGGAGATGTGGACGTGGACGTGGAGACAGACAGTGGTGAAAGCATTGAAGTAGACGCCAATGTGTCTTTTCAGGTATATATCATACCACTAAATAAAAAAAATATATATGCATGTCATAATGGACATTGCTCACCTAAGAAAATGTATATAAAAAAAATTGTATGAGAACAGTTATCACTGATTTGCACTAAATTGCTAGGGCTAATTTTCTTCAAGTTATTTGTAAAAACTCATTATATTAATTGCACAGGTAACTTACAAGACCCCAGTTCCAACAGGAGATGTGTTCTTTACTGAGACATTTGATGATGGATCTTTGGGCAGGTTTGTGACGCTTATCAAGTTGATCTTGCACAAAGAATGGAATCAAAATGACCGTTTATTGGCTTGTAATCCATGTGCGTTTGCTTTGAAATCATCTTTATTTACAATACTCACAAATGTTGACAACATTTACATTTAAAATGTACAGCTATGCTGTGGGCGAACCGACTAAAAATATTGATAGCTAATTCTGCACTCCACAGACTGTCAAAACGACGGTATAATGATTAAAAATCCACAAAATCAATCATCTCCATGCAAATATCATGGCCTCATGTTACTTATTGCTTAATTATTTGTTAGCTTTTTCATGGTTTATTATTTTCTGCAGTTGGCAGGTGTCTAAAACAATGAAGGAGGATGCTGATGAAGATATTGCGAAATATGATGGTTAGTTTTCCAGCTGAGAGGATTTCTGATTTTGAGTGCCGCTCTTTATTATTTTGTATTAATGAATAATTCTGATAATATAGTTTATCATTAACCCTATTTTAAAAAAAAATCATCTGCTGAATTATTTTGTCTCTTATGCCTGTAGGTAAATGGGTGGTTGAGCCCCTTAAGGAAAACAAGGTGCCTGGTGATTTGGGCTTGGTGCTAAAATCTCGTGCTAAGCATCATGCTATCGCGGCTCTGCTTAACAAACCATTCGTGTTTGAAGACAAGCCCCTCATTGTCCAGTGAGTGCTTTTCTTACTTGCAACTTGACTCCTCACATAATATTGGATTTCTATGATACTTAAAATAAAGCATGTTCATTCTAACAAAATCCGATCTATGCAGGTATGAGGTCAATTTTCAGGATGGGATTGACTGTGGTGGCGCTTACATCAAGCTATTATCAGACTCAGAAGACTTAGACCTGGTATGTTCATTGACTCCTTATATGTTTGGAATAAATTAAAGGTATAATTCATCCAATAATTAAAATTCTATCAGTAATTACTCACCCTCATGTTGTTTCAATCCCGTACGACTTTTGTTCATCTTTGGAACACAAATTAAAGCGGTGGTTGATTATGATTTCACTTTTCTAACTTTAGTTAGTGTGTATTGTTGCTGTTTGAGCATAAACAACATTTGCAAAGTTACAACGCTCACAGTTCAAAGCAAAGGAAGATATTTGCTTTTAAAGAATTAGTTTTTTAAGGACTACAACAAACGGCTGGTAGGGACTACACGACATTCCTCATGGGTTAGTGACATCACCAACCCTAAAATGTACATAAACCCAACCCCTGAAAACATGCAGTCCATTTTGAAAAGAGGAGTTGTTGTAGAAGAGCACAAATTTGTGAGTTTGCACAAACTGTAGCATCCATCTTTTCACATGCAATAGTATGTCACTCTGTATGCATCTCACAACAGTTCCTATACGAGCCATTTTATAGCGATTTTAATTCCACATCAGCAACATAAATTCATCAACTAACAATTCAGAGACGTTCTGTTGCATTTTGTCACTTCTTCTTGAGGATCTCCATCTTTGTCTGACTCCGGTTTAACATATAAGGTAAAACAGTTTCTGACATTTTAGCATGTGTCTGCGTGAGGTGATCGGAGCTGCTAACACACAAGCTCTTGAAACCCCGCCCTCTGTGCTGGTAGCAGCAGCTCATCCGCATTTAAAGGGACACACACAAAAACGATGCGTCTTTGCTAAATGAGAACGCTGTTATCTAAACCCTGGTGCGCACCAAACAAATGAACTCTGGTGCTGGTCGGATAAAATATGAACGTAATACGGACCCAGGACTTCTAAACGAATCCAAAACAGGACGTGATGCCACGTCGTGTATGGAATGCAAAAGCATCCCTCAAGCATACATAGTCACAATGTTGCCCATCGCAGTTTGGTGCAGGCATCGGAAACGCAGTCTCCTTGCAACAGACCGTTTGTGTGTGATGTAGGGATTCCTGCCACTGTTTTGACTTCTCTACACATTTTATAAGCTATTCATGAGTTCTCAGCTGGTCAAAATACCATCACATGTAAAAAAAAATATGTTCGATCTAAAAGATGACCGTGTGAACACTAAGCGAACCAGGACTAAATTTCTGTAGTGAAGTGAACCAAATTACAAGTGTGAAAACACACCCTAAAAAAACGTGCCCTTGTATTGTCATTAAATATACATTTGACAGAAATTGAAATGTAAGACACTGGATTCTAATGCTATTAAGGAATATTACAATGTAAAACACTATATTTTAAGAGTGATGAATGCGTCTTTTGTCTCTCAGGAGCAGTTTCATGACCGGACACCGTACAGCATCATGTTCGGGCCAGACAAATGTGGAGAGGACTACAAACTCCACTTCATCTTCAGACATAAAAACCCCCTTAATGGAGATGTAGAAGAAAAACATGCCAAACGGCCCGACGTCGATCTGAAAAAGATTTATACTGATAAAAAAACTCACCTCTACACACTTGGTGCGTACACACACTTGTGTTCTTGTAATGATAAGATTCATTGTGAAAGCTCTCACAACCTTTTAAAAATATGTTTTACTATTATATGGATATAATAAATGATTTAATGAATCAATTTAGTAATGATTTTTGCTCTCCTCTTTTCCTCTTCTCAGTTTTAAATCCAGACAATAGCTATGAGATCTTTATTGACCAGTCCAGTGTTAGCAAGGGAAACATGTTGACAGATGTCGTTCCACCTGTGAACCCACCAAAAGAGATTGACGATCCCAAAGACTCCAAGCCAGAGGACTGGGATGAGAGAGCCAAAATCCCAGACCCGGAAGCAGTCAAACCTGATGACTGGTGAGATATATGAATATGTAGCTAAGTCAAATGCAAAGAATATCTATGGCATGTTTTTTTTTTAAATCTTGTGGGGTTTTTTTTTGTTGTTGTTGTTTTACATGATTATTTTTTGCCAAAGCCACTTACGTACTTAGGCCCCGTCCACACTACTGCGTTTTCGTTTAAAAACGGAGACCTCCCGTCCACACTAAAACGGGAAAAACGAAGACCTAAAACGGAGAAGTTTAGAAACGCTGCAGCTGCGTTTTGCGTTTTGAATCTCCGGAGGGCGTTTTAGTGTGGACGAGACAAAACGGAGGAGTTTACAAACGATGACGCAGAGGCTCACGCTCGGCTCTATGATTGGGTGTCATCAGTCAGACGTATCTTTCCCTTATTCGCCAACCACTGTTTACACCGGCGCGCGCATGCCCAGTGTTGGTGAATGGTCACGTGATCCACGTTTTCAGTCGTTTTAGTGTGGACGGAGATAAATTCTAATACGCAGGTAAAACGCTAGTGTGGACGGAGATCGTTTTCGTTTTAATTCTCCGTTTTTAAATGAAAACGCAGTAGTGTGGACGGGGCCTTAGTGTTAACTTAACAGCAGATTCTTCTACTCTTCTATTCTTCTATTGACTATTTTCGCAGTTTTTATTTAAATTTATAGTAAATAGTAACAAACATGGCACTGATATGATGAACCACATAAACTTATGATTGTGTCAAGAGAATAGCAGCAGTAGTATGTCAAGAGTCTTTATTTTTATTTTTTATTTTTGTATTTATCCATCTCTCTATCTAGGGATGAGGATGCCCCTGCTAAGGTGCCTGATCCTGATGCAGTGAAGCCTGATAGTTGGCTGGATGATGAGCCAGAGTTTGTGTCTGACCCCACTGCAGAAAAGCCTGAGGACTGGTGAGAACAAAAGTATTTTGTTTAATCCAGTGGATATGTCAGTGCTCAGTGTCAATGAGGAGCTTCATAGTAAGTAGGGCTCCAGACATTTTTGCAACCTTTTTTTCCTGCTGGTGCGACTAATTGTTCGAGAAGCCTATGGAGGAGTGATTCAGCTCTCAGATTTAATAAAAAAAATCTTAATTTGTGTTCTGAAGATGAACTAAAGTCTTAAAGGGTTGGAAAAAACATGAGGGTGAGTAATTACTGACAAAATAAAGGGAAACTTTACTTTAAAGGGATACTAAAATATTAAAATTGTCATCGTAAATGGTGAGTAAATGATGACAGAACATTTTTGGGTGGAGTGTCCCTTTAACATTTTGAGCACAGACCAGACATGGGATATCTGTATGGATTAAAACAAACTTTAGTATTTCTTGTCAAAAAGAAGATAAAAAGAAATAAAGAAATATATTTAAAGAATTAGAATTTATTGTAATGTATTTGTAAAATAATTGTAAAATAATTTGTAATGTAAAAATATTTTACATTTAAAGTCCCTCATTACGCTTTTTACGCAGTTTAGGGAGACTCATTCTTTGAACAAACCTTTTTCAGACTCTCTGAGAAATGAGCTGATATGCAATGTATATTATGAGAAAATTTAAGTGTTTTTTTTTTTAGTGTTTTACCTTTGCTTTAATGCATGTCAATCTATTGTAGAAGAAACTAAATTAAGGACCTTTAAAATAGCATGATGGGGCACTTTAATAGGCTAAACCACATCATATAAGCACATTTAAGTCAATGGCACACATTTTACCGTAACTCCCCAACACTTTTATGTTTTTTTTAGACAAGTGAATTTTCACAAAATGGACATTTACAAAAAAAAATTTCAATTTGTTACAATTTGTTGGCATATTCATTTTGAACTTACATTCAAAACTTGAATGTAACTTACATTACATGTAAGTTAACTTATTGACTACTGAACTTACATTACATTATTTTTAATTTAAAAAGCTGAATGTTGTTTGCATGTTGTTTAGCTATATACTTACATTTTACCTCACTCTTTTACTGTTAACTTGAAATGCTGCGATGAAATTCATGTTCTGCCTCTATAAAGTAAAGTTTCTTGTCAAAAGGATACAATTAAAGGAATAAAGAAATAGATGAAGAAAAATAGTTAAAGAACTATAATTTACTGTAAAGTAATGATTTTGAACTATTTGCAAGTAATGCATTTATTTTAATAGGCTAAATGACTGTCCTAACCACAACCTATAAACACACTTGAGTCAAAGCCACAAGTTTTTCCATGTTCTAGTGCAAGTCTGAGGACGGTAACATCCAATTTGAGTTTTATGAATCTTTTTTTTAGACAAGTGAATTATTTACAAAATTAACAATATGAACATTTTCAATGTGCACACATTCATTCTTAATCTTGTGCCAAACATACTGAAAATGACTTTTTTGGACAATTTTGACAATATTGAGAAGTTGTTTAACATTTCTATTGTAACAGTTGTCAAATATGACACTTAGCTACATGCGCTTTATCTTAGATTCTTTTACTGTTAAAATTAAAACATTGTCATTGACAAGCGGTCTTAGACTATCTTGCCGTATTGGTGTTGTGTGTCACCTAAGTACATTGTTATTAGACAATATTTCACACGTTTTATTATACAAAAAATGCTCCCTTTGTCCGAAAGATTTGGCAGACTATCATTTATAGCAGTATTACACTATGCAATACGCATATCTACCTTTTATAGAACCTTGTCAGCAGTATTCTGTTCACACCTCTCTCTCTCTCAGGGATGAGGAAATGGATGGAGAATGGGAGGCTCCTCAGGTGCCAAATCCAGCATGTACAGCTGCTCTTGGATGTGGTGAATGGAAGCCACCCATGGTCAATAATCCTCAGTATAAGGGCAAATGGAGAGCTCCACTCATAGACAACCCTAACTACCAGGTACTGACATCTGGAGTCTGGAAATGTAATGTTGCTGACGCTCCCAGATTGTATTCAGTACAAGCAAATGTGACGCAAGCCCTGTCTTGAAAATTAGGTTAACTATTGCATATTACTGCTTACTAATTACTATTATATTATATATATTATTAGTTCTTTTCCCTAAGCTGTACACTAAGTGGGTGTTCACTGTTGCGCGCTATGACCACTGAACTTTTTTTCATTATTATTTTCAACGACTTTGTGTATTTGTTAACAGGGTGTGTGGAGTCCACGGAAGGTTGCAAACCCTGATTACTTTGAGGATCTTCACCCGTTTAGGATGGAACCATTCAGAGCTGTTGGTCTGGAGCTGTGGTCTATGACCTCTGACATTTACTTTGACAATTTCATTGTTACCGCCGAGAAGGAAGTGGCGGACCGCTGGGCTGCAGACAGCTGGGGACTCAAAAAACTGGTGGCTAGTGCCAATGAGGTATGCCTCTGTCTACATAAACTTTGCTCTGGTAATTATTGCTCATCGGACTTTAGTTTGGTTGACATGCTCACTGTGTTGACTGTTTTTTTTTTTTTCTGTCGTAGCCTGGAGTGTTGAGTCAGTTGGCACTGGCTGCAGAAGAGAGGCCCTGGCTGTGGGTGGTTTACATCCTTACCGTTGGTTTGCCCATTGGACTGGCTGTGCTCTTCTGTTGGCCAAAGGTAAGGCCTGATCCCATAGAGGAGATCCCATTGAATGCAAAAGGAAACACTTGATGTAGCAGGCACAGCTATACAGCTGAGTACAAATCAGAATTAAGTTTTTAACATCTACTCTCATGGAATGGAAATATGTATATATAACAAAGGCTTTAGAAAAAAGGTACTTCAAGTATGTCATTTTGAGAAACTTGGTTCAAATCCTGTATTTGTTGTGTGTTTGCTATGTGACGAGATCCACATAAACGGTACACTTGAAACAAACAATACAGCTGATTAATCTGGTTTACTATGTTGAATTGTTATAACTCAATTTATATGTTGCTAAAGATTAAGATGTTTAGGATTAGCTTGCAAGCACAAAATCCTCTTAATGAGTATTTATCATTGGTAGCATAGCAACAGGGAATCAGTGGCCTGCCCTGAAGCGTTCAGGTTTGTCACCAATATGAACAGATATCTGTGATGACAGACAGAATGGTGCTCATCTTCCTCCTTCAGTGTGATAGTGCCTTTCATGGTGAAGTGGACTTGGACAACTGCTTCTTGAATATTCTTAACTTGCATGTTTATGTGTGTATTGCAGAAGTCAGATGACTATGTATACAAAAAAATCGATCAGCCCAAAGCAGAACCAGAGGAGGTAGAAGACGATGATGAGGAGGAGGAGGAAAAAGAGGAGGAGAAAGATGAAGATGAAGCTAAAACAGATGAAGCTAATGGTTTGTAAAATGAATCCTCTCTTCCCGTTTAAGTAACTGTCCAGTGTAGCTGACAGCTGTTATTCATAATTTTCTTTTTTTTTATATATATATATATATATATATATATTCCCTTACCAGTGGATAAGAATGAGGACAGAATGGAGAAGGACATTGGAGAAGATGGAGGAGATACAGATGAAGAGGAGGAAGAGGCCGATAAGCCAAATGGCTCAGCCTCGGAGGATGAAGTAAGCAAGTTTGCATTGGCTTTTAGTCTTCTGTAGCCAGACTTTTGATCAACATGAAGTCGATTACTCCGCCCATTTAGACAAACAGAGTAGGGTCCTATGAAAATGTCCAGTTGATACTAGCAACAGCGTTCTTTTTACTGGGAAGAGACCATTCACACATCAGTACCAAAATACCAGTAAACTCTGTGATGTCAATCATCGGAAATTACCTTTAAAGGGATAGTTCACTTTGAAATTAATTGTTGATATGTTTTAGCTTACCTCAAGGGCATCCAAGATGTAGGTGTCTTTGTTTCCACAGTATTTTAAATTTTGATATTTTTAGGTCAAACCGTTGTTGTCTGTCAGTCATATAATGGAAGTTTATGGGGTTTAATGTATGTCATGCGCGCAGTATGTTCTATCTTGCTCTAAATTCCGGGAGATTTTAACTAATTTGTGGGCATCAGGGAGACGCTATCAATATGCGGGAGACTCCCGTAACTTCCGGGAGGCTTAGGTTGTCTGTATGGGAAACCCATAGGGGAAACCCTGATGATAGCCTACAGCTTGGATAACGTGCACAATTGATTCAAAAACTTTATTGTTCATTAGACGAAACAAAAGCATTTCATTTTCACATGCGTGTAAGCCGCGAGAAAGACGATATTGCATATATATGTTTTTTAAATATATATATAAAAGTAATATTCGAATAGTAACTTCAGCATTCGAATAGTATTGATTTTTTAAATATTCGAATTATATTCGAATTTCGGAATTCGTTCCAACAGCCCTACTGCAAATCCTGTCCTGTTTAAAAAACAATCAGTGAAATGAAGCAAACAGACGGACAATGTTTTACCTCATCAGCTGTAACGTCATTAAAAGTAAAGTTTATCCATGCAGTCCTATTGGAATCCAGAGGAAGCATATGCAGCCACTGTCTTCTTCCACAACCAGGCACTGCACAATATTTTGTATTGCTCGGTAGCTCGATCCGGTTTGTCATCACGAGGTAGGCCTATATTATTTAGCTATGCGTGTAATGCACGAATCGGTGGGCGGGGCTAAACCGGCCGTGTTGAAGTAGGCGTTGATCTTCTTCTGCGGGGGTGGTGTTTTATCCTCTTTGACGTCATAGTTCCCCACTTTGAAAAACGAGTCGTTTGCTGAGGCTGGTGTCAATAAAAGCTTTTATTGGACTAACAAGGACGTTTTCAGTTCTGAAACTTACAGGATATTCATTTTATATGATGACCTCTTAGATGTCAAAAGCTCAAGGAAAATTTCATTTCTCAGTTCATCACCCCTTTAACTGCAAGAGCCATCTTGACTGCCGATTGCAGCTTTAATATCAATAATCATTTTGGTTTTTTTTATATCGGTTTGTACTGATAATCTAGATCCACTGATTGTTGTTACTGACCATTTTTGGTCTTTTGCAGATGAAGGACGCCAATGAGGAAATTCAGGGCTCAGGAGAACCTAAAGCTGTGAGAAAGAGAAGAGTACGGAAGGACTGAAGAACCACATTTTCCTCATTTCTTCCTCCCTTCTCTCAGTCCTTTGCCTCTTTTTGCTGCATGCTTTCGGCGTATGCCCTTTAGCATGCAAAAAACGGCAAACCTAGCCGCTCTCCCGAAGAGGTCATCCTTCATCCGACTAAACCTCGCCTCCCCTCTTTCAGTCTTCCGCTTAGTTCTTATCTGGATTTGGATTTAGATACAAAAGTCAGACCTGCTGAGTTTTATCTCCACGTTTTTTTTCCTATTTTCTCTTTTTAGATTAGAGTTCAAGAAGTTTTACTGGGCCAGTGTTTCCCTACTAGTGATGAAAGTCTGAATACTGTGAAGGGAATTCAATGGATATTTTAGAGAGATTAACTAGTCTATGATCACCTCAACATTTCAGTTTAAGTTATTAAAAAGGGGTCAGTTCTTTTGTGAGTTTAAGTTATGAGCTTTTTAACAGAATCAAATCGCTCTGACCGTATTTATTTTTTGTGTCTTGTTTGAAAATTGATGCAATTTACGCATAAAACATTTTAATATCGCATTCCACTGTGTTATTAGCTGTGGAAAAGAGCTCCGTGAGACCAGGGGCCATCTCCACCAAACATCTTGGTCAGCGGAGTGCTAGGAACGCAGATCAGTATTGCTTTTTCACCATCAAAGAAAGTCGTCACGCACAGTTTTTTTCCATCACTGACACTCTAACCGCAGAGCCAGTCGTAAGCACACTGAAAACACTCCCACTGACATCAGACTGACCGCCATCTATGAAACCATAGAGCTTTGGAAACAAACAGGTTGTTTTTCAAGTGATGAACAGTTTTGTTTTTCTGCTTTTTTTAGGTTGTGTGTTGAGCCTTACGAGGACAGCCTTTTGTTTACATGTTTGCGAACTGTTCATTGCTCTTGGAAATAAATATTTACTATAAACCTCTGTGCGCGTGACTTCAACCAGGAACAGTTTACTCATATGTGCAAAGGCAAATTATTTTATTAAAGGCATAATTGTTACAAAATAAAATGTACACTTTCAGAAAAGGCAGGTATAAATTACATAAATGAAATTTTTCACAAAAGAAATACTGAACAGAGTATGTAGTGTTGTGGCAGGTCCTTCAGTGTCATGTCAATAATTCATATGAAGTACAATTTGCATCAACAAACTCTGAGCAAAGAGCAGAGCATCCAGGTTCATAAATGTCGCTCAAGCAGACGCTTTGGAGCAATTGGATCAATATCACTCAGCAACCTCACTTCAATCTTTGAAAGCAGTAAAAGCTCAAATCCATCTATTTCATCCATTTTAAGTTGATCCAAAGGACGTGTGACCATGAAAAGCGAACTCTACAACACAATGCTGCCGTTTTTAACACTGGTCTATGATCCTACACAAAAGATGTCGGGTTTGTGCACTAGTCAGATCTTTTAAGATAAAGCCATGCAATTCAGTGTCTCAAGGTCTCTTACAAATGGAATTACTCTTAATTTTAAAAGTACTTAAATATGGATAAGGGACCACGTTTTATATATGGCAGAATTCAAATTGCATATTTTCCCTGCCAGCTGAGCAACTGCCATGGAAATTATCGGGAACGTAGACCTTGGTTCAACAAAAAGATACACTAAGTGAGGGAGGATTCTTTTGGATATTCATTCTTAGCCTTTTAAATCGTGCAATTTAGTTTTGAGTTATGGACATGCGCTTTCAAGGGAACATATCAGTGTACAGTCTGTGCTTGCTTTGAACTCACATTAACATAATACATTTTAAATGTAAATGTTAGTAGTGAAAAGCTAAAACGGCTCAAATCTTTTCGAAAGAACTCAATAACACCAGACTTTGGCTTTCTAGTACTTAAAAAGGTGAAGTCAATGAGAGGGTCTGAGATTGGTTATGTACTAAGTGAATTATACAGAAGTGGTGCTATTACACCACATCGGCACTTATCTGTTCACAAACTGCAACATGCATCCTTTTAGGTCTTGTAACACAGTTGGCTGACAGAGAGGCAGCAGCTCAGTCCATTCAAGTATTAGCAAATCCATGCTGAAAGATGCCTCAGTATGATATTACAACAAAATAAATACAAAACAAACAGCAGCTTCTGTACAGGCTAGTAGTATGAATGGTGTGGATAAAGCTGACGTGATCCACACGGTCACTTATTTTCGTTTGCTTTTGGTGTCGGTGGTCTGAAACACGCTGGAGGCGGACATGAGATTCTCTATGTACTGCCCGAGAACCTGGTTCTCCGATTTGAGCTTAAGGTTCTCCTCTTTTACAGCATCCACACGCGCGGAGAGATCTAATGAAGACAGACAGACAGCATTAGAGAGCATCACTTAGCTTTAACTGGCAGCCATTAAGAGTGGCTGGGTGGTCAGTTGAGTCTGGTTAAAGGAAAAGCAACATGAAGGGTGTATGTTGAATAATAAAACAAAACAATGACAAGAAACTATTAGGATTAGATGCATTAAAACGAATGTGCTTTTTTACCTTCAAGTGTGTGTTGAAGCTCCAGCACTTGGTTTATGAGTCTCGACTTCTCCTCCTGCTCAACCTGGTTCTCCATATCTCCTGAAAAGATACACAAACATCTGAAACTATCAAAACATGCATTTTAACAACACAATATAAATTCAGTATAATTCATTGATATACCATCAATCTCGCAGTTCATGTTGCTGTACTCTTCCTCTGGTCTGAAGCGCAGCACTGTTTGTTCTCCGTCAGCTGTAAGAGATATTATCAATGTGAAATAAAATATACTAATACAAAAAAAATGTGCTAATATTTTTGGACATGTTCTATAGTAATGTCATGATATTCGTCGAAGTAGCTCGCGAATAATGCAAACTTGGCCGTTTCAAAATCCCAGCGCATCAAAAGGCTAAGTTAACGTTAGCTATTGGCTAACAAAACAATCCAGCGCCTGACATGAATAAATATAGTTCACAGAAAGTTAAGATCACTGTAATTAACATATCACGTTTAAAGTGATAGTTATAGCGCTATTAGTACTCGAGACATAACATTATTACTCTGGTTTTATACAGTTTTAACTTATGCTATGTCCAAAACTCAGTCTCCACTCGTTCTCATGCATTAACGTTACAGGCCGCTGCACTCTGAGGTGCTAAAAGAGTCATGAGGGGAAAAAAGGCATTAAAAGACACCGATAACAATACATTTGAAATAATTAGTCACAGAAAAAATAGAAAAAAGGCCTTTAAGAAATAATATACGCCGAATCGAAATTAGCATGAAACAGTAAAGCCATGAAGTAACTAAATATACACACAGTCCTACCTGATATAAGACTAAAACTATAAGACTCAAAGATGATAAAAAAAAAATTCAGGCCTCAAAAGCAGATGTCAAGGTAATAGTAGCTACAGACCAGACCGTCCGTTACCTCATCACTTCTCTATTTTTCTCTTTCACATTCACTCACTACAGAGATATACCGACAGAGGGAGACAAAGCTCTCTGTAAAGTGTGCAACGCCAGCATATGCTACTTACTGCATACTGCCCTCTATTTTTTAATAGTCAACACAATAAAACCACTGCTCTCTATAATAGTCTATATTGGCAGACTGTATGTATGGGGTAAATGACAATTTACCCCATACAGTTTGACATCATGAGCAATCGGTCCATGTTGTCACAAAAGGACAAGCAAGTGGAAATATCTCCTTGTTCGTTACAGAAAAAATAAATAGTCATACAGGTTTGGACCAACATGAGACGAGTGAGAAGGATTTTCTTTCAGAATTGTCTTTTTTTGGGTGAACCATCATAAATTAGCACTTATGAGTCATCTGAAATATGCAGCCTTTGTTCTACTTACTGCTCTGACAGTAGCTTCATTCACACATGCTCACTGTATGTGTTAGCCCATCTCTGCACAGTCCTTATTCACAATCACATGCATACTGTACAGTACACACTTACTGCCCATTATAGCAAGTGAGGTTTCTGACATGTGTTGACACAATGCCTAGCCATTCATTCCTGTATTTGGACAAGAAAACTATGCTGCACAGCACTAAAGCATTTAGACGCTGAGTTATTATACTGTTGCAAGAATATACTTTATAATGTATGACATAAAAAAACACAAGTTAAATCATTCAGGTCACACTTTATAATAAGTGTCTTTAACCACTATAGGCCTGTATACTTACATCAGAAATATAAATTGTAAGGTACAATACTTATTGTGTTCATGTTGTATTGCAAAACACGTTTGCTGCTATTGGTATAGAATACAAGGTTTACTGACAGGTTTGGTGGTATGCATTGGTTTAAGGGTAATTATAGATGTCACTGCAGAAATTAATTACAGATGGATTTACATGAAGATATGTTTTTGCCATGGGTGGACTTGTATAACCTTTCCACAGACAATGCATGATGCAGAATGAACAATAAGTTGAAAGTTTTGCATGCCCATTTCTCATCTCACATCCATCACAAAAGTTCTTAGACAAGACATGGAGTCTTACCTGTTTCATCATCTAGTGAAATGTTAGTAAAAGTCCAATTCGCTTCATCTACGTCATCCTCCATGACTTACTGTGTGCGCAAATGTGTCTGAAATTAACAACAACAATTAAATAAGTTAAGTAGTTTAGTTCATTGTCTCTGGAAAGACATATATTACTCTCTATCTAGTTCTTTCTCTTCCTGAAACACTGTGTATGGTCATACCCTCTCAATTATTCACCATCACCACGGTTACTAACCAGACCTGTGTGGCAACTCAGGTGACAATGCTAAAGCAGACTTCGGGCAACGCCTGATAGATACAAAGTTCACTCGTTCACTTTCTCAGATTACTGTGAGAAGACTGCTCACCCAATGGCGCGCATACACCTTTAACTTTCCCGTGCCATCTGTCCTATTTCATTTGTGCTAGAGTATAGTGTGACACATTAACTAAAGTGAGTTTCTGATGTCCTCAGCACATACAAAACCACATGGCACTGCCTTGTTGTTTTGCACTTTGATCGGTGTTGTAAAAAGCCCAGAATATTAATTCAAGCTATAATAAAAAGGTGCGCCCTTCGTGATTGCTCAAATGACTCAAATGATGACTCATTTATATATATATATATATATATATATATATATATATATATATATATATATATATATATATATATATATGTAATATTATAATAAATGAGATTAAAGACGTATAAACCAAAACTCACATATGCCAGTAGAAAAAAAGTTTGCTACCTATATTTTCTGTAGGCTAAATTTATAAATGTTTAACAAATCTCCTAGATATATTTGAGAGAATAGGGCAGGAACATGGATGAAAGTGTAGTGTGGAATAAAATATGAAATGTTATAATATTTTTATTTCTTGGACAGGATCATCTGTGCAGAACCACCATTTCTGGTTGGTAAAGTCTGTATTTTGCCCCCCCAAAAAGCTTTGAAAATCAGCTGACAAGTATGTGAAGTGGCTCCTAGTGGTTAAAGGCTGTCATTAAAATCATGGAGGAACTGACTGTGTTTTTTCATCATCTGTACTCATGAAAAACAGATAATGCTTGTGAATAAATAGGCCTAAATAAACATAATCATGCATCCGTATACTAATGCATCACAGCTAGACTGGTGAAATGTTTGTTTGTAATTATGTCTGTTCAATTATAGTCATATTTTATTTTTAATATGTATCAATTTTGGCTTTTAAATAATATTAATAAATAGATTATATTGCATAAACATAATTTACATCTATTTTGTAATAAATTACCAGTTTGGTCAAGAAGTACTATTTGCAGTTTCACAAAAAAAAATAGCATGTAATTGCTGAAACTGGTATTAGTAATCGCAACACCATTTAATACACAACATCACTCCCATAGACTGACCTTTATAGTGATTGCAGCATCATTTTTATGAATACAAAACTAACTCATGTGGTTTGGTTTGCACCTTTGATTATATGCACAGTAATTGAATAATACGACATTCCTGCAAGTGCCCCAATCTTATTCAAGCCTAAAATGGTGCTTTTTCATATAATAATCTTTTTTTTATTGCAAGAGGGAGCAGTGTATTTTCGGGGTTGGGGTTTTGGACAGGATGTTCACACATCCGTGGAAGCCTGAGCATTTACAAGATAGTGATTACATGGCAGAGAAACACAGTTAATGCAAGATAACAAGCCTAATCAAAACATAGGCACACACACAGACTAAGATAAATAGCTAAACATATAACTCTAAATAGAAATTATCATAACAATATTTGAGCAAAGTAAGAATTTCATGTCTTTCTCTTTGAAAGTTTAGTACACTCCAGTCCCAAAACATTTTGCCCAACATGTGTCTTTGAAAACATAATGTTAGTCTACTTACAAACCGTACCAAAGTAAACAAGTTGCAAGTACGCTTTACCTGTTTGTAATTGAAGTAATGTTTTCACTCAATTATTTAAATTGAATTGCCTTAAACATAATGTAAAAACATTTATGTCATGTAGGGAATGACTGTGCAGTGTTTTTGTAGTGTCATTCATTTACTATAGTTATATTAAATAATATTTTGAATTATTAATTATTATATTTTAGAATTTCATTTTAGACAAAGTTTTAGAAATTTTGTTGTGTTTTTATACATTTTGTTATATAGTTTATCTTTATTAGCCTATTATTAAAGCTGTAGTCTGTAGGTTTTTTGGGTTAAAAATTATCCAAAATACATTTTGAGAAAATACATAACCAGCCAGCTGTCAAAACTATCCGCTTGGCTTAGTTCGACTCAAAGCGGGAAAAAGGTTTTTTTTTTTGTTTTTTTTTTACTCCAGTGGATTTCTGTGGAAGATTCAACCACGTCTTTGCGTCATTCACATCTATACCAAGCGCAACATTCTAATTTGAAAAATGAAGCCTACCCAGAAGTGTGAAAACTGCAATACATCTAAAATCCGCTAGAGGGACGTCCAAAAAGTGAACAAATATCTGGGCGTCATGACGTCATTGCTTGGCATGGCGGACATGTTGACAGTTTCGCGAATGTAAACATACAACAAGTCGAACGAGGTGAAGGGGCAGAGTTGGGATAAAGAAAATAAAAAAAGATGTTAAAATCCCTAAAAGGATGTGGAATTTCCATTAAAGAGTCGGCAAACAGTGGAAACACAGTAATCCGGACAAAAGCCACGTTTCCACCGCAATTACCAGGAACTATTTGTTCCTGGTTACTTTTAATTAACTTTTTTTGCCCCAGACCGCTTGCTTGGGGCGGGAAGATGTAGTGACGTTGAACTGCATGCGACTGCTCCTCCCGTCTGCGCATTTGTTTTGAGTTTTGAGCGCACATGTGAATGGTTAGCACTAAACTGTCACTAAACTAGCAGCTAGGTGGAGCGCAGTTTTCCTTTGTCCGGATTATGTTATTGTGTTCCCACTGTTTGTTGGAAATTTCAAATGGATCCAAACTGTTAAAAGTGCCGGTTTTGTTCACAAACCGGTCCCTGGTTTCCCTATTAAACGTATCCCGGTAAATTCAGCAACCTTTTGGGGATCTTAACATCTTTTTAATTTTCTTTCTCCCAGCTCTGCTGCTTCTCCTCGTTTGACTTGCTGTATTTTTACATTCCCAGAATGCAACATGGCGCCCAAGTTAAAATGTCCGTTTTCACAGCATAAATTCATGTTTTTGCAGGTCAGTCCCATTTACTTTTATTGTATAGCCTGACAACTATGAGGGGTGATTTTTTTTATATATAACTCGTTAGTTTAGATTGTATTTAGATATACAATTTATGACAAATAAGGGCGTGGTTAACTTTGATTGACAGCTGATAATTTTTTTTATTATTATTAAATGCTCGTAAAGGAAAACAGCACAACAACAAACAAACAAACAAACAAAAAAAAACATATATCACAATTATTGTCATTGTCATAACATAAAAACAAATGAGTCCTTCAGTCCAGATTAAGCTCCTTCTGTCTTTTTACTCCAGGTTAATAATTGCTCTGCTATAAACTGAGGAGTACTTCGCTCTATTTATTCCGGTAAGTGACGTTCAACTACTAATTCACGTAGTTAGCATTATTTAGCATCAATGTTTGTGGGCAGTGGCACTGCGACAGTAAGCATTAAATCACCTCCGATAAATTAGCGTTCAGGTACATCTGAAAATCAGAGAGATGCAGGAACAAAATGATACATTGACAAGAGATAAAGAGTTTGATAGATAGAAAATGGCACAGTAAGTGACAGAGAGGCAGACTGAAGAATAAACACTAATGGAGATGTATAGGCAATCTCTCATTCTATCTCTCATTGCTCTCAGACTGCAGAGTTAACAGATGCCCATGGCTGGCAGTGGCTCTCTTGATGCTTGTAAAGGATCAACCCATCTGTACTGTGCATAAGCACCAGCAACAATCAACCCTGTACAGACCCCAAATCAGCTTTGGGTTTAGGGACACCAGCAGAGCAATGAGAATTAAAGTTATTTTTTTAATGGTGAATAGTAATTAACCATGTTTCTTACTAGCACATGCTGTGATGGGATCTCCCCCTGTACAGCCAGGAATAATGCTATGAAAAAAGAAGTTACATTTCAGGATAAATCAGGTAATCACAGCCATGCAATTTAGAACAACAGCAACAGATATTGCTTTTACAGCAGTTCAATAAACAAGAAGGTAATATTGACTAACTTACAATGTTGACACAATATTACGCGTTAGTTTGTATATTACAAACTCCGCTGTTGAAAATAGTTCCAAATGAAGCCATACGTATATAGCAGAATGTCTCCAAGAAGATGGTAAGCATAGGGTAGTACTGAAGTACATTTACTTTAGTATTTTTTTTGGGAGAATTTGTACTTTTAAGAGCAGATGTGGTTACTTTTACGTACATTTCTAAAGAAAAAAAAATTACTTAACTTTTACGCCGGGCGACGTTCTGTAAGTATAGTGTTTTTCATTCCTGAATCGCTGTATTGATCAAATCAGTTTCCTTGAACGATTCAATAAATCACTAATACAGTCACTTCAAATATGTGTAGGCTACTTACCTAATAATATAATATTCTTTGTAACAAAAATAGTTTGTGAAAAGAGTAGTAGGCTATGTCTGAATTCACAAAAAGTACCCATGACCTACTACTTTCGGCAAGACTCAAAAGTACACATAAAATGGACCCTCTAATCTTCCATGAAGGCACAAACGAGGATTTGGAATAGAGCATCACAGTCCCGCCCACAGCCGGTGCCAGAAATAAGAATTCAATACAATTTCTCCACTGACAGTTGGGGTATAAGCAGAGAATGTCTAATATTGGGAGAACCTTCACTCTCAGTAAACTTCTGGGTTCTGAACTGGTTGCAGTTCCACTCTGGGTCCCTATGAGGGTGTTCACAGGACGAGTGCAGAATGAATGGAGGTCTATGGAGATATACTCCTTAAAGGTGCAATGTGTAACAAAGTTGAGTATCTATTAACAGAAATGCAATATGACATCCATAACTATGTTTTCAGTGGTGTATAAAGAACTTACTTAATTAGCCGTAATGTTTTTATTACCTTAGAATGAGACATTAATAGCTCCATAACCGAGGGAATCCCCTTCTATGAAGGTCGCCATGTTGTGACGTCATATTCCTACCGTAGCCGAACGCGAACACACAGTGCTACAGAACGCGTTTCATCACTACCTT